CCCTTATTTTTGAAAAATCATAATTTTTCCCTCCTAAAATATATGTGTGTGGGGCTGAAGAGATGGTTCAGAGGTTAAGAGCACTGGCTGCTCTTAAAGAAACCCAGATTTGAATCCCAGCACCCACATGGCGGCTAGCAACTGTCTGTAACTTTAGTTCGAGGGGATCTGAACTAGTTCCTCTCCTGTCCTCTGTAGGCACTGCACGACATGTTTACATGGGTGTATTATAGATGCTCTCTGCTTGTCTTGTTGACCCTGACATCATGTGTATTTGTTATTGTTTTTGTTTTGATGTCAATTTCTAATGCCCAGATTTGTGAATTGGCAGCTATACCCTACTTTTTCCTTGTTGTAACAAGAAGGAAGAGTTGGGCTTGTAGAATTCTGCACATCTTTCTGATGCTGCCTGCTTAGTGACTAAAGCCTTAGCAGTGGTATAAGGCAGGCTGACGTTGACTTCCAGCTCCTCTGCAGCATTCTAGCTATGCAATGTAACCTCTCTGCGCCTCAGCTTTCTTCATCACTTATGACGTGGGAATGTATAATTTTCCGATTTATAGGTGTAAATACTGAATAAGATGATGTGTTCAAGTGACCCTTGACAGTGTTTACACATAGTGTGCTCTGAAAAGGAAGCAGTATTGGGTCAGCAAGATGGCTCAGTGGATAAAGGTGTTTACGATTTAATCTTGGCAACCCAAGTTTGAGGTGGAAGGAGAGAACTGACTCCTCTTACCTACACACACATGCCATGCTGTGCGCCCGTACTTCCCACTAATAATAAAATTTTTTTAAAAAAGCAAGCATTAATTAGAAAGCCCCCTTTTTCCCACATAGCAGGTCTTTGCAGTTGGTATTGTTAATGTAAGGGTCCTGAAATGTAGTGAGGACCAGCATTTACTGCTGTTTTTAGCCTCAGAGAGCATATAGATCTAAAGGGGACATAGTAAAATATCCTCAAGGCTTCTACACATTTGCTTCTTGGTGTTTGCTGGAGATTGGTTCTAGGACCTCTCCTCCCTCCATCCCCCAACCCCTCAGCACAATACAAGGTTGCTCAATTCAAGTCCTTTATATAAAATGAGGTATTTGTATATACCTATATACCTCCCAACATCTAAAGATTATTGTAAATGCCTAATACAATACAAATGATGTGTAAATAACTGTTTTGTCAAGTTGTTTATAGAATAATAACAAACAAAAAGTCTGCATGTGTTCAGTGAGATGTAATTTCTTTCAGAGTTTTTTGATCTGTGCTTGGTTGAAGCTGCAGATGTGAAACCTTCAGATATGAAGGACTAATTTTACTTTAAGTCCTAGCATGGCAATTGCCTTGTGTTTGGTCCTGTTCTTATTTCTTATTCTTATTTATTAATGTGTGCGTTCCCATGTATGCAGGTGCACATATCTGCGCAGTTGTGCATGCACATGTGTGTGGAGGGCAGAGGACAAACTTGGCATTGTTTCTTAGGTGTTGACCCTCTTTTTTTTTTTTGAACTCACCAAGTAGGCTAGCCTGGCAGACCAGTGAGCTCCAGGGATCTGCCTGTCTCCACTTTCCCAGTTCTGAGATTACAAGTACCTATAGTTATACCTGGCTTTTTACATGGGCCTGGGGTTTGAATTCAGGTCCTCATGCTTGCATGACAAGTACTTTATCTCCCCAGGCCCTATTCTCCACTATTGAAACTGTATTTATTCTAAAGGAAGATGTACTAAGGTAATTATGTGGTTGCTTGTTATAAATATGAATTGGTATGTGGCTCCTCTTGCTCTTATCCCTGAATTGGAAGATTATTTGAGGAGAGTTTGCATAGGGGACTGTTTCATGAGTTCTGTCCTGCCTTAATCTACTAATCTATCTTCCTGTCTTCTGTCCCTTTTCTGAAAGATAAGGTTAATTCTCAGGATCTTTATAAAACTCTGATTATTTCAAACATACTGGGTGTTTGCTGTGGTATACATTTAACCTTTGGCCTCAAGATGAATTTCACAAAGAAAACCTCCCCCAGGCTCTTTATCCCAAAGAGTACCCTGCCAGACAGCCTACGTTTTCCTGCAACACTTCAAGCACTATACCACCACTGGGGCTGCACCTTTCTTTGGCTTATGCCCAGTTTCATTAACAAGCATGTTCACACTTCATCTGGAACATTTAAAATAGCACCCGTACAATGTGTTTAGTGTCTAGTTAATTATTAAGTCTCCAAGCTTGAATTATTCAAGCAAAATTGATTGGGTTCAACCTTCTTCCTTCTCTTTGTGCTCAGAAAATTCTCCCCTCTACTCTCTAAATAATCTGGAAAGGGTTATTTAGCAAGTTTCAATACCCTGGACTGTGGGTGGTACCCAAGTGCTAATAGAATAGGTAGAGAGGACTCTTTTGTTAAAGACTGTGTTAGAGGCCAGGGGTGTGGCTCAGTGGCACAGCCTTTGCCTAGCATGTTTGCCACCATGGATTCCTTTCCCAGCTTGAAAAAGTATCTGCAATTCATATATCTCTATTACTAATTAGCATTTATTTGACATATTTATTACATTTTATTTACGTGTGTGTGTGCGCACGCACTTCTGTACATATGTGCTGTGGCTTGAGTGTGGAGATCTGAGGACAAATTGTGGGAGTTGGTTTTCTCCTTCCACCATGCTGGTCCCAGGTCTCAAACTCAGGCTGTCAAACTTAACCACAGGCGCTTTATCTGATGAGCCATCTGGCAGGGGCCAGCTCTTTACTACTTCCTCTCAAGGGCAAATGAAATTGCTAAAACTGTATTGACTTCATCACATTAAAAACCATGTTGTTGAAGAACATTTGTTGACCCAAATAGAGAATTGCTGGGCTATAAAACTGTCCTTTACTATGTAACACTTCAGTTAAAATGTGTAAACACCAATAATAAAGAAGTCATAACAGTAATCAATAATATAAAATAATATTATCTAGTTTAGGATTTACACTACAACTTTCTAGATTCCATTATTTGTGTTAATTACACGACACACACACATATAAAGATGTCATGGCTGGAACTGATTGACCTTTTGTCTGAATGTATTTAAATATCACTCACATGTCAAGAGTACATTGAAAATAATCCTTTTTACTTACACCAGGCAAGTATAGACTTGGCAAGTGTAAATTTCATATAAGATTCATAATATTTCAGGAGCCACAGCAACTTTGACTTTGATTAGCCTTCATTTTCAAACTTCACGTCTAGGTCTTCATTTCTAATTCTTTCTCTGCTTCTGTATCGAGATGTAAAACTGAACCATTAGTTGTGTGCATTAGGATGGAAAACGGGTGTGAGAGGATCACTGAGGAGAGAGCAATTTTGAGGGAGAAGTAACAGAAATGTAATGAATGACCCACCCAGTTCAGTAGTGTCAAGTCTGGGGTTTTCCAGAATTTTGGAGGGAGCTCTCATAACCAAGACCACAAAACCCTGAAAGGGCCCTACAGGCAGCAGGTGTCTTGGCTCTTGAATATGACCTTTGCTGCATTGTGCCAGGTTGCAAGAGGGCTGTGTGCGTACTTTTATGTTTGTAGACGGGGTGGGGTGTGTGTGGGGTGTGGGGTGTATGTGTAAGTTTGATGACAGTGGGGAACTGTCTTGGTTCATGAGTTGAAGCCCCTGCAGGTGGCTTGGCCGAGGAATAACAGGCATCATCTAAAACATTTCTGCAGGAGAAAATGTCAAGCTTCACACTGGAAACTTTTGGGGGAAAGCAATGGGGATTTCTCTCCTTTGAGAGCACATATGCACGACGAGGATGGTCGATCAGACCAGTCTATTTATTTAAAGTCTCGAAAAAACACACAAGTGCTGCAATTAGGAACCCAAGAAATTAGAACTCGGGCGTGGGAGAGCCGAATGCGGAGTGGGCTAAGCAGTTAAAAAGCGGTGGAGGCGGCACTGGGCTCTCAGAGCTGCTGGGCGCGGAAAGCACACGTGCGGGGCAGGTGGCATGGCGGGGCCGTGCACGGAACCCCGTCGGCGATCTGTGGACGCCCGGGTAGTGGTGGCGCAGTCCCCAGCCCGCGGCGCATCCTGCCGCAGCTCTCCGGCCCTCACGCTCAGCGCCAGAGTTCACCGCGATCCTCGATTCCCTCGCTGCAGCAACCTCAGCTTAGCTTGGCTTGGCTCGGCTCGGCTCGGCTCGGTTCGGCTCGGCTCGGCACGGGGTCGGGGGGCGGGGCGCGCCGCCATATTGGATCCGCAAGGTCCGCGAGCCTCCTCCTGCGTGCGGCGGTGCCGGGAGCCTAGAGCGCGGGCGCGAGTGGCGCGGGAGGGCGGGGGAGGCCAGGAGTGGCTGGGAGCTGGGCTGCGGCAGCCTCTGGTCTCCTCGGGCGGCAGCTCCCCCTCCTCCTGCGCCTCAGCCGCCTCCCTGCTCGGCTCGGAAAGATGCCCTTAGCCCCGGGCTGCGAAGAAGGCGCTCGAGTCGCTGCCCGAGCCGTGGCTGCCGCGCCCGCCGCGCGAGTCCTGTGAATTCCGCGGCGCAGCCGTCCCCGAGGGGCGTCGGGAGCCTCCGGCGCGGCGGCCGCGGGCCGGGTGTGGAGAACGGGCGCTGCGCCCGGCACGGCGCGGCCCGCCAGCGGCCTCCGGCATGGAGCGGGCTCGCGCTACCAAGTAGCCGCCGTCCCCAGAGCGCGGCGCGGCAGCCCGCCTCATCCCCGCCGGCCAGGCCCTAGGAGAAGCCGGGAGGAAAATGACGGGTCTTCTCCGCGGTCGGCCGGATCCGGGACGCAAGGCGAAGCCTTAGGAAGAAAGCGCCGGGGCGCCGGGGAGCAGTGTCCTACCGGCGACTTGGCGTGCTCGGCCGCGGAGAGCGGCTGCCCGGGAGCTCCCCTCCCTTTCCCGCGGAGGAATCGCTGCCCAGCGCTATCCAAGTGGAGGTTGGGAGCATTTGCAGCAGAATTTTTGGCTTTCCCTCCCCCTCTATACGTTTTTTTTTTTTTTTTTTCTCCTCCCTTTTCTATTTTTCGTTTTCCTGGGAAGTGAATTGCTGATGCAAAGGGGACTTGATTCATTAATGATGCAACCGGATTCGTTTCAGGATTATGTTGCACCAACTGAATTTTGAATGAAGGGATTTTTTTTTTTTGAAAGAAGTGTTGACTCTTTAACTCGTTGTACTTTTAATTGTTATTTTATTTAAATATACGAATTAATTGTATTCTTTTAAAAATATTAAATATATATTTTATGGAAACTTACCATCAAAGTATATGTGTATGGGTGAAATTGAAGACGCTTCCGTTAAGTGAGGTTACTGGCGTGTTGGGTGTTTAATTCAGCACCGGCATTGCATGACAGTTGTTGGAATAACAAGTGGTTTATTTTTAAAACCACACCTTGACAGATTTAGGTTCAAATAGTAACAGTAAAAAATCGTTATAGCAATTAAAAGAAAACCAGCAGAAATCGAAGTAAACATGTCCGGAGAAGTGCGTTTGAGGCAGTTGGAGCAGTTTATTTTGGATGGGCCAGCCCAGACCAATGGGCAGTGCTTCAGTGTAGAGACCTTACTGGATATCCTCATCTGCCTTTATGATGAATGCAATAATTCTCCGTTGAGAAGAGAGAAGAATATTCTTGAATACCTAGAATGGGGTAAGTTTGCATGAAAAGGAAAGCTCTTAATCTTTAGCTGGGTATTTATGATTAGAGTTATTAACTGTGTAATCACACACACATTTAACAATAAAAGAACAGACGCCAATTATTCAAGATTTCTTCCCCTCCAGTTTTTGGTTAACTATTTCTCCAGGAGTGAAACTGTTGCCTTGATGTATGGCCTCGCTCTTTTGGAACTTATGATGAAGAACTTAATGTTTTTAGGGCAGCAGTAAGAGATTTCAAACAAATTGGGAGATGAGCAAAAATGGATGAGCACAGTTGCCTAGTGCACGGCAATCTGGCAACTGGTCAGTGGGAAGGTGTTCCCTGGTGGAAACATTTCTTGCCAGCCTTTGGGAATAGCTGGGGTTGGGAGGTGGTGGTGAAGAATCTGTTTATCTTAGGAGGACAGGAATTAGGAGGTGGTTTTCACTGGATTTTATTTTATTACCGTGTAGCACAAACCAGGGAAATTACTAAACATGGGCTTTCCAAAAATTACTAAATGCCTAAGATGAAAGAATATGTGTACTTTCTTTTTTTTTTCTTTTTTTTTTTTTTTGGTGACTGTAGTTGATGGAGAATGTTTGGGGGCAGTTCCCACCTGAGTGTTCGATTTTCCTCAAATTGAGCTTCAGTCTAAACTGGTTAGATTTGACTTCTAAGTGTGAACGTGACTTAGAAGACCTATATAGGGGAATAGACCAATGGTACCAGCAAACGCTGCATGTGACCTTCAAGCTTGAAGGCTTGGCCCAGGTTCTTGAGCCTCTGATGTTACGTGGGTGGGGGCAGTCTACCATCCAGCAGTTCCATCACTGGTAGTGAGGGCTACTTTATTGGCTCTGGAAGGTTTTTGTCCATCTAGTATTTCGTACCTTTGGAATCCTTTTAGTTAGCTGGAATGATTTTTCTATTAAAGATGTTTGTTCCTAAGTAAAGCTTTATTGGAGAATTCACTGCCTGTTTTGGTTTTGAAATTCATTCAAAATTTGTTTCTCAGGGTCAACCACTAATTCAATAATAATAATAATTTTAATTGTCCAGTTGGCCAGTATTAGAAGAGTGATTGCTAGCAACATGATGTCACAAGGTTTTTAAAAAATGGTAAATGTGAATGATATGGTTTTTATAAAACCTACTGGGAATGTAAGAAATCTAAACCAATTTTCAGGCAACTTCTCTCTTGAGAGTGAGATAATCTTAATTTTTTAATTGGTTTTGTGAATACCTGCCTTATGTGTAGGGTAAAATTTTTTAAAAAGCATATGGAATTTTTACATCTCTTATTTCATAAATTTAGAAATTATTTGGTGTTTCTCTTTGAAGACTTAAAAGGTTTCAGTACTTTTAGCATTGGAATTTGAATTATTAAATTATGGCTCCCTAGTGATACTCTGGTCTGTGATTGTGATTGTCATTTAATATCCTTTTCATTTGCAAAACAGCAGAACTCTTTGTATGTTCCAATGGCAAATGTAATTTTAGATAATGTATGATATGAGAAAAGCCATATTACCCATTGACTTTTGGTTAGAATTTATGTAGTAGTTTTATGCTTTGAGGTATTTTGCCATATTATGAAAATAACCTATATGTTTTACATTTAGTATGTTTTCTTGTATGTAGTTTCTTCTGTATGTATAAAAACACTTTGTAAACATACATACGTAAGCCAAAAAGTAAAAATAAAATCTAGCATTTGGCAGAATTCACTCTATATAAAATAATATGCATGCATCCATGTCTTTGTGTACATTGAGACAGGCTCTTATGTAGCCCAGGCTGGCCTTGAACTCCCTGTCCTCTGCAGCTACCTTCCCAGTGTGGCACTGCAGGTATGTACCACCACACTCAGTTTATGTAGTACCTGGAATTGAACCAAGGACTTTATGCATGTTAGGCAAGTACTCTACCAACTGAGCTATATCCCAGCCCAAATTCATTGCATTCTTATCAATATATGATAAATAACTTCAAACCATGGATTTGTCACAATTGGAAGTTAAGTAGTACCTTTTACATCTTATCTTTTTAGTATTTTGATATGACCTGACAAAACTTTACAATCTCTTATCTGTTACTGTTTTTTATGATTTAGGAGGAGAATATAACTTTTAAAAAGATTTTTACTATTTTTGATTATGTATGTGTGTGTCTGTGTGTGAGTATAAGTACCTTGGAGGCCAGAGGCATTGGGTTCCTCTAGAGCTGGAGTTACAGGTGGTTGTGAGCTGCCTGACATGGGTGCTGGGACCTAAATCTGGGCATGCAGTACATGCTCTTAACCCCAGAGCCAACTTTCCAACCCAGAGAGAACAGAATTTTTTAGGAATTATTTTGTTATACTTTAGGTAAGGCAGTGTCTTGTCTCAATTCTCTGGCCTGTTTCACCCTCCATAAAAATTAAGATTAGAAGAACTTCAAGAGATGTATCATAAGTAGCATTACTTACTTTCTTTAAGGTTTTTGGGGGAATCACGTTAAGAATGACAGGATCTTTTCATTTAAGTATTGCAATAGATCACCCATTCTTCATTTGTGAATCAGTTGCTAGGTTCTGGGGAAACATTCTATTCTCTTCTCATTGCCAGATTTATATAAAAAGGTTCAGATTAAGTTTCCAGATTGTGAACTGACCTCAGTCATTTTTTTTAAACATTATAATTTTGGGGAGGGCCTCTGAAGGAAATTTACAATCCTCTGAAGGATTACTGTTGAGGGTTAACTCTGACAATTCAGATCTGCTTTATGGTGCCATTTTTGGTTTGATTTTATTAATTCAAGAAGTATTAGGCCTTTAAATCTTTAAAAGATTGAATAATTGAAATAGGACAAAAGTATAGTTAAATATTCTATATTACACGCTAAGTATTTGTGTTTGATATTTGTATTAACAAAGGTCCTACCCAGGTGCTTCAGATTTTTATGCTGATAGTTGGTTACTTTTAAACATATAGTCAAGATTCTGTCTATTGCTTCATTTCAATCAGTTTCATTGTATTCTTTGTTAGAGTCCATTTCATTTTTTTAATGGTACAGTTAATGTTTTGTTTTCAACAGTATCACAGTAAGAAAACTGACTATTCCAGGTTAGGCATGTTGCTTTCTTTTATTGCATTTCTTGTTTTTGGTGTTGGTGGCTTGAGAGGAAATAGGCAGAGCAGGTAGAGGAAGAAGGGATTAGCCGAGATCGCTGGCCTGAGGGATGAGCTCATGGAGACCATAGGTCACTGCTAAATTTAACAATATATATTATTTCTTAGTTAAAGTCAGTAAGATTTGACTTTCTTTCCTTTGATTTCTAAGTTGTTGGAAAGATTATTGTTTCTGTGTTAGTTTATAAAATAATTTTTGATGTCAATTTGAGTTATAGAATTTAGACATTATAAACTAACTTGCTAGTGATGACTAACAAATTCACTATTAAATTGACTTTCTTCTGCTTTGAAGTGGGAAATTTAAATGTTAAGGAATTCTTTACTAATTTATTTTTAAGGTAGACGTAGGATAATATTACTCAGCACAAAAGAAATTTGCAGGTCTGTCTGCATGTGGACAACTGTCTTGACGCTTTCTGATCTTGATTTTGTAATATTTCATATACATTACCCTTAAATAACCATTTTATAATTTATTCAGATTTTATGTATGCTCTACCTAGAGAATTGTCTGATTAATAAACTTTTTACTAGGGCACATCAGCAGGTACTATGATAAACATTTCAATCTTTTGTTAGGCTAGTTTAAAAGTTAATTCACATTCTTTTCATGTGTGAGTTTGGGTGATGATGGTTTAGAAGGAACTGAATCTTTTCTATAATAATTTATTTGTTCTTAATGCCTACTGTTCCTCACTGTTAGCTTTTTCTGAGTAGAGTTTATTAATCATACAAAAATTACCAAGATATCATTGAATACAGATGATTAAATTCATTTTTATATGTCTTCAATTAGGATCATTATAAATGTGTTAAAGTACACAGAGGACACTTGTTTCCTTTACACTAATTATCTAATAATCTATTCTAAAAATGAATTACTTTATCTAAAAACAATGCTGACACATGGCAGGATCATACTCAGTAAACGGTGGGAGGCTATTGTTCCTTTTCTCCCCTCTTCCTTTTTCCTCTCCCTCCCTCTCTCGTTCCTGTCCCTCTTCCTGAGGTAGTTGCTAAATAATGTTTGTTATTACACAACTCGCAGTGTCGATTACTTGATTAGTAATTTGGTTTTAGGAATATAACCTTTTTTTCCTTCTTAAAAGAATATTGCTCTGGGCCCACGTGGTGGCACACGCCTTTAGTCTCAGCACTCCGGAGGCAGAAGCAAGATGATTGAGGCCAGCCTGGTCTACTTAGCGCATTCTAGGCCAGCTGAGGCTACAGGGAGACCCTGTCTCAAAAAAACAAAAACAACAACAAAAAAAGAGCATTGCTTTATGAATAAGAACAGGATGTCAAGATTAACATTTTAAGAATGTTAAAAATATTTCATGTGGAAACTTAAGGCATACTTTACTATAGCAGTATGAAAACAAATACCATAATGTGTTGGAAATTTTAGGAAATGGCCCATAAATCTTAGGACTTGATTGCTATTACTTAGTAAGGCCAGTATCTTTTAGGGTAAAAGAACTGAACTTGGCACAAATTTTATTGTACTATTATGGCAGTCAAACAGTTTTTTCCTAATTTTTTTCTCATTTGGTGGTGTCTGAAGCTCATTGTTTCCACCCTGCTGGTTGCGATAGGTTTTAAAATCAACATGTAACATCTAACCAGTATTAAAAAGTTAGGCTAGAAGAGAAAATAATCAAGCCCATCAGACACAGAAAGAGGAAATACAGTCATGCAGAGCATTTGTGCTCTCTTACACTTCTTACTCTTATGTTTAGAGATTGAGATCAGAAGCATTGGGCATGTTGGTGGGGATGAAGATGTATTATGTTGACAGTGAAAGTAGATTAAGGACAGCAAGTAAAGAATTTA